CCCCGCTCCGCGCACCCCCGCGCTGCGCCGTGCGCCCCGACCCGTCCCTCCGGCGCCACGCCCCGCGCCCCCGTCCCGCGCGTTTCCCGCACCGACCCCCGCACCGCACGGCCCGGGACTGCCCGCCCCGTGCGCCCCCGGTCTCCTGCGTTCTGCCGCCGAATACTTGTTTTGCAGAAGTTCTCTTTTATCCTTTAAAAATAAAACTTACGACTCTGTGGCTATGAACTGGCCGGCGTCTGGAGTGATGTTTATTTCTAAATCCAGAAAAGCCAAAGGCGGGCAGGGTTTGTTTTTAAGGTCAAGTTTGTATACTCAAATAAGCAAACGACTGTCCCCACGACCGCCGCCCGGGTCTCGTAGGAAGCCGAGGTCCACACCGTGCGCCCAGCGCCCCTCTTGTAGCAACCCAGCTACTGCCAGACGCGCGCAGGCGGCTGGTGGGTGGACTGAGCCCCCAGCGTCTGACCCGACCCGACCCGTCCCGTGGTCCTCTCTGTGCTGTCGCCGGGCGGTTCGCTCCCGCTCCGGGGGACGGTAAAGTTGAGTTGGGTTTTGCCCGGGACCCCACGCTACCCTTGCCCTGGGAGCTTGGAAGTGTTCTCGACAGAGGGGGGAAGACAGGCTGCCACCTGGAAGCATCGCCAGGCAAGCGGTTTGGGTAAACAGAGGAAAGAAACCCCAGTTTCCAAGGCGCTTGTGATTTCTTTTCCCATCTTAATATTCTGCTTTGTGTCTAACCGTGTGTTCTTTTACCTAAAGAGGATCTGAGGGAGCCTGAATTCACTCGGGCTTTTTCTCAGAATTCGTGTTTTCAGGCGGTGCCTGTGGCTCAAAGGAGTAGGGCACCAGCCCCATATGCCGGAGGTGGCGAGTTCAAACCCAGCCCCGGGCCAAAAAAAACAAAAAAAAAAAAAAAAAAAAAAATTCGTGTTTTCAACACGCCCAGCATATTCCAGGCGATTCATCAGGGCCCAGCGTGCCCTTGGTGTCCCGCCCTTGTTCTAGTTTTCCTAATCCTTTCCTCTATGCCTATTGCTATTTCAAGAGAAAATGTGGAACCGGTCTCCCCACCTTTGCTCTTGTTCTGTTCACTGGGTTCTGCACAGATCAGCTGGGATGATCTTTCTGAAGAATTCACCTGCGGATGTCCCTGCCTGCTTAATTCCCTTCACTTGCTTCTCACTGTTGTGAGGGTAAAGTCCAAAGTTCAACCCTAGTTCAGCTCCCTGACTTATTCCTTGAGAGCTTTTAAGCTGTCTTAACACCTCCTCAGTCCCCTAGGCCAAGAAAACTTTCTTTGTTGTTTTTCTTTTTGTTTGTTTTAAGAAAACTTTCTGACCCTTCCTCCAACTGGCCCAATCCTATTGGTCTGTGGTGGTGGTACTTCCTGCCTCGCCAGGAACACATCCTAGCACTTCACCTGTGTGCTTGTGCTTCCATAGAGTCTTTGCCTAATTGCTAGTCACCCCTACTTGTTCATACGGTTCCTTAAAATAAAAATTATGCCTTGTGGCTTGATGCCCGTAGCACAGCGGTTACACACCAGGCACATACACCGGGGCTAGTGGGTTTGAACCCAGCCCTGGCCAGCTATGCCACATAAAAATAGCTGGGTGTTGTGGCAGGTGCCTGTAGTCCCAGCTACTTGGGAGACTGAAGCAACAGAATTGCTTACGCCCAAAAGTTTGAGGTTGCTGTGAACACCATAGCACTCTACCCAGAGCAACGGCTTAACTCTGTCTCAGAAATAAAGAGGCTCGGCGCCTGTGGCGCAAGTGGCTAAGGCCCCAGCCACTACACCTGAGCTGGTGGGTTTTCAAATCCAGCCCTGGCCCGCCAGAAACAAAGGCAGCTCCAACCAAAATATAGCCAGGCGTTGTGGTAGGCGCCTGTAGTGCCAGCTACTTGGGAGGCTGAGGCAGGAGAATTGCTTAAGCCCAAGAGTTGGAAGTTGCTGTGAGCTGTGATGCCATAGCACTCTACCCAGGGGGACAGCTTGAGGCTCTGTCTCAAAAAAATGAAAGAACAAAAGGAAGGAAGGGAAAGAAAGAAAAGACAAAGAGAAGTGGGAAGGTACAGGGGACTTGACTTCTTGTAAAGTGACTTCCTCGGCCAAAAACCTTAGTTTTTCAGGCAAGGAAGGGACAGCCTTTTCATACAGAGAGAAGGGGCTACTTCTGTGATGAAAGAAGCTCTGTGTCCTCAGTTCCATTTATTTCCATTCTCAATCTCCCAATTTCCTTTTTTTTTTTTTTTTCACTTTGTTGCCCTCGGTAGAATGCTGTGTAGCAGCCTGTATAGCCTATGGCTAGGAGGAGTGAGTTCTAAGAAACACCTGTATAGCTCAATAATGGAACACCTTGGTGAAAAGGGCATGGAGAGGGATTTAGTTCTAACAAGCATGAGAGAGCTCGCGAGATAAGAGCATTGGTGAATTGGCAGTCTCTACACCTGTGGTGTTGGAGGCACGAGATCAGCCTTATATTAGGCTGGAGGAGAAGGCAGTCGGGAGCATGCGCAGTCTATCACAGACCCTCTGACTCTGTCTCCTCTTCTGCCTGTAGAACACCAGCACGGCATCTCTCTGCTGAAGATTACCAAGCCCTGCTAAAGACTAAGATCTGTCTTTCTAAGAAGACCTTTACTCTCTCTAAGACACACATGCACTCTCTCTCCAGCTAAAGTAGATAGCCCTCAGGCACCTAAGAGAAACTGTTCGTGAGCAAGGTAGCTTAGCAATCCGCATCCGGAACCTACCTAAGCCAGGCCCGAGACCTGGCCAGTCCCAGGCCCTGACAGTGCTGTGCATCACAGCTCACAGCAACCTCCAGCTCTTGGGCTTAGGCGATTCTCTTGCCTCAGCCTCCTGAGTAGCTGGGTCTACAAGCACCCACCACAACACCTGGCTGTTTTTTTGTTGCAGTTTGGTGGGGGCCGGGTTCAAGCCTGCCATGCTCGGTATATGGGACTGGCGCCCTACTCATTGAGCCACAGGCGCCATGAGTAGGAACCAATTCCACTCCTTTTTTTTTT